CCTTTGGCTTACACGTGCTCACATTGCTCACATATACAATATACACGCACACGTGCGCACGCACTAAACCTAGAGTAAAAGGAGAAAAGGCTGAAAGGAGCATCCATACAATTCATCATTTTTTAGAATGGGAGAATTCTGAGTCGGGGCAGTGCTGACACAGGCTTTTAATCCCAGCACTCAGGAGGCAGAGGCAGGTAGATCTCTATGAGTTCAAGGCCAGCCTGGTCTACAAAGAGAGTTCCAGGACAGCCAGGGCTGTTACACAAAGAAACCCTGTGGGGCGGGGGGTGGGGGTGGGGTGGGAGGGAGAGGAGAATTATGATTTTTTCTTCCTTATATTTTTCTGATTCTTTTTTGTTTTGGCAAGAGTCTATAGAGAACTTTTTAATGATAAAAGTAAAGATTGTATTTGATGCCCTGGCTAGGAATCATTCAAATAAGTTCACTACTTAAAATTAAATTGAAGTGAAGAGGTCTGTTGCCTCCATCTCATGCCTGCATCCTAGGGTGACAATTTCCCTTCCACCCAATACTTTATCAAACTGGAATCTCAGTCAGAGAAACCGAGAGGAAAAGAAAAACAACAGTGAATTACAAGATAAACAGCCTGGACTATTTGCAAGTCAGAGGCCAGAATCCCCTTCCAAGGCTGTCTACTTTGGGAGGTGAGCCCAGAGCATTAAGAAAAGCCAACTTTTGGAGGTCTGACCTCACCCCTCCCCTTCCCCCAGTTTCTGCTCTGAAGAGATTTCTTTCCCAAAAAGAATAAAGAATACTCAGTGGAAAGTATTAACTGCTTGGCAAAACTACACAGACGCAGACAGACAGAGGCCAATGAAGTATAAATATTTCATACCAGAACTGTTTTTTGACCCAGCCAGTAATATCTACCCCAGCCGCAGATCTAAATGTTTGGATGAATGATAGACCAGGCCAAGGCTGGCCAGCTGCAGGCGGAGACCAGGAAGCCCCCGCCCTGAAGAACATGCAGACAGATGTCTTCCTAGAGCAAGGAACCCAGGCATCCGACTTTGCCCCTGATCCTTGAACCTGGAAAGGTGATTTTTTTTTCCCTTGAAGGATAATTCTTATCACACTGTTGTCCACATCCTCCTTCAAATCAGTGATTACTTATTTAGATTTTAACATCGTTAGTACCGTTCCTCCAGCATTTCAGCGCCCTTTTCTTCTTCCTCCTCATTTTCCTCTCCCCTCCCCTCCCCTCCTTTGCTCTCCCCTCCCCTCCTCTAATCTCCTCTCCGCTCCTCTCCTCTCTTTTCCTCTCTCTCCTTCCCTCTCTTTTCTCCTTCCCCTTCCTCTCTTCTCTTCTCTCCTCTCCCCTCTCCTTTCCTCTCCCCTTCCTCTTCCCTCCCCTCTCCCCCTTCCTCCCCTCTCCTGTCTCCTCTCCCCCCTTCCCTCTCCTCTCTCCTCTCTTACCCTACCTCCTTTTCTTTTTCTATTCCTTCCCCTTTCAACTTGCCCTCCACCTCTGCCTTCTCTTCTCCAGTCCTCCCCCCCCCCCCCCCCCCCCCCCCCTCCTCCCCTCCCCTCTTTGGCTTAGCTGATTTCCATTTCAAACACGGCTACCCTAATGACCATTATGAAAAGACAGCTTGGGTTTGGAGAGGACTAAGAATGTGTGTGTTTGTATCTCAATTGCAGTCATGACTATATCCATTTGCCCAAATTTACTAGATTGTGCAATTTCAATTCATTCAGTCTTGAATAAACTGGTTAAAAGAAAAGATGCTGAAGAAAGAGAAACTTACGGAAGTTTCTGTCACTTCAATTCTGAGCAAGTGTGGGAGCTGTTGGACTCAGCATTTCTGTCCCCATCTGATGGACACAAATCTGCATCGAGGTCGCTTAGCTGGGCCTCTGATTTCTAGAGTGACTGCACGTCTGTCTCTCACACTCTTGTCTCCCAAGGTGACTTGCAGCTTCATGTCCACTCTCTAGGTTTCTGCTAGATCACCTTTCTATCTTTTTCTTCCTCTGGAGGTCCCACCCCACCCCACCCCCAGGTTCATGCAGTCACTATCGTTCCAATCCAGACAGCATGTCCATCACCCCAGGCTTCTCACTCTCAGATGGTGACCCTGGATAACTCCTGAGGTGCTCAGCTCCCGACCCTCACAGCAGCCTCCTCAGCTGGGTGGTAGAATCTGTGTGTGAGGCAGGGGGTGGCAGAAGCCCCTGGAGGACCAGTCCCTTTGCAAAGGCAGACAGAGGACAGGCGTGATGTGGAGCTGGCTGGCCAGAGGAGGGGATGACGGTGAGACAGGCCTACAGCATCTTGGGCACTGATGTTGGGGACTATGCGGACATGGTCTGTTCTGAGAAATCAGAACACCTGTGATAATTTCATCTATAAAAGGAATGCTTTCACTTCTAAACATGAAATGACCATCTGGGAGGCCGTCCCTGCTGCCTTGCAAACATGGTGTCCCGAGTTCAAGCCCCAGAACTCAGCAGGCCTAGCAACAGTGGAGACAGTCGACCATGTGCTGAAGGCTCTGAAACCGTGAGCCAAGTGAGCCCTCAGAGACTGTCACAGCGATGGAAAACGAGCACACCACCTTTGTTCTGAAGAGCGCTATGCTCACAGCTTAGCACTGGATAATCATGTAAGGACACCGGTGAGGTAACTGAGCAGAACAAGCAACCAGAGCTGCACGTGTGGTCTTCTCCGGACCCTCCCATTGTGCACACACACGTGGGCAGGCAGGCACGCTGGTTTGGTGTTTTGGAATGGTTCACTCAAGGGCAATAGAACTGCAGAGATGCAGGGAAAGGCACACAGGAGGGCAGAAAAGGGGGTAGGATTGAGCTGGGGAGATGGACCACTCACAGAGAGACGCTGACAGACACAGAAATACACAACACACACAGACACACCGACCTCCACACACAGACACACATCAACACTGACAGACACACTAACATACATAGACACTGACAAACACACTGATCCACATACACAGAAACACTGACAGACACAGAAATACACAACACACACAGATATACTAACACACACACACACACACACACACACACACTGACCTCCACACACAGACACGTTGACAGACACACTAACACACACAGACATTGACAGACACACCGATCCACATACACAGAGACACTGACACACACACACACAGAGACACTGACAGACACAGACACACAACATACAGATGCTGACAGACATATAACACAGTGACACACTGACCCACAGACACACAACATACAGATACTGACAGACATATAACACAGTGACACACTGACCCACAGACACACAACATACAGAT